TTGAGCGTAATAAGGATCGAGCGATCGAGAGTGCGCCGCTGCTGCTTGCTACGACGTCCTATATCATTTCGGTTGGAGTTCGATAAGGACCTCTCCCGGCGAAATCCAAATTTACTAGATGACTGAGCGAACGGCTTCGCGGGAGAGCGATGTGCTATTGGTGGCGCATGAAAACAGAAAATGTACTCCCCCTACATGAAGTGTCGTTCTGCAAGATGTCTTCTCTTAAACTAGATACCAATATTTTTTTCCAACATCCAAAAAGAACTTTATTATCGTTCATATCTAGGATGATGCCCGAATTAAGATGAGCAGTGATTGGTGAATGAAAACCGCACCTACAATAGTCGACAATCATTCTGAATCTCTTATAAGAAAATCTCTAGGCTCAGCCTTTGAGGCCATGACGATTCTCTTACCGCGCGTGAACTATGCGCATGTGGCTACGTAGATTTAGGTGGCGCCACCTCTCCGCACTCGCTACCGGCTTTCTCTGTTTTCCGCTTCTTTTTCACCAGACTTTGCTTTCGTGCTTTAGGATGTGTTAAATTTTCAGACGTCGAGAACGAATGCACCGGAGAACGACGTACCAAGTCTAGCCAAAACAAGCATGGCAATTCTTACAAAAAATGAAGGTACTGATTTTAAATACGAATAGCGACCATGGCTAAACGCATCAATACCTAAATCCAAACACAAGCGTACACTTTTTTACTTCATGTGCGGGTCTATTTCTTAAGACAAAGATCTATTAGGAGATAAGGTCGATAAGCAATACTTACAAACTCGGTTGGGCGAGAATTTCTCTGAAGTTACCATAGAGTTCCTTTTCAAACTTCTTCCAGTCTGGTTTCGTTGCAACTGCATAGGAGCAGTCGAGTAATCTGACACCTTCCTTGTTGATTATACTCTTCTTTAGTAGTCCAGCAAGAGTTGGCGCGTCAATGATACGTTTGAGGGACATTAAAATTCTGCAAAAAACATGGGAAAATCGATTGTTTGACGTCGAAAACATGAAAGGACCGATTGTTTGTCGTCTATATTTAGAGACCACAGAAAATGCAACAGTTCACATCTTGATAAATAACATAACTTTTGAGCCTCTTATTAATCAAAATAACGGCAATCAGTAACAAAAACAACTTCACAAAATTCGACGTCGCATCTTTGAGGTTTAATAACATACAATTATTCAAAATTCACATCACAAGGGGTAAGGGCGAGTTAGCCAATCTTGGATATCTCTTC